GAATTTAAAAAGGAATCTCATTTCTGAGCCCAGCTGCCCATCCAAGTGTAACTCTGAGTGTCTCAGTGCCCCAGCACAGAGGGGGAAAACATAAACCAAGATCACGTAACAGGGCACACAAATAGAAATGAGGGAATTGTTGTTCTTGTGGATTGTTCTTCAGCAGCAAAGCAGTAGCTGCGTTTTGCCACAGATCATTCTGAGAGTTTTCTTAAGCCTTGTGTCCTCTCCTTGTTCTTATATTTTGAAACTGTCCCTCTGCTTTTTTTTTTTGTTTTGGGCTGTTGGACTGAGGTCTATTGTAGAATTGATGCCTGCAGTTCATTCCTCAGCTCCCAACAGAAGATGTGCTGTTTAAAATAACGTCTATACTGTTACTGTGTTCTTTGCTGCAGTTACAACGTCGATCTCCCCTAGGTCCAGCTGTGGACGTGCAGGGCAGCACTCACTGGGGAGCCTTACCCAAACTGCTGTGAGCAGCAGGGACTCGCTGCCCTTGCTTGTGGCAACTGGGCCTGGAAGGATCCCAATCCCTGAAGGTCAGATGGTCTTGTCAGGAATACATGATTCCTGCTGGAAATTATTTCCATGAGATCAGATGGATAGATATAATTAGCAGAACCAAGCCAGATAGGATTCTTACAGGAACAGCTGTGCAGCCAACAAAGTTATTGTATCAGAGATTTTTTTCCCCAATAAATATTTTACACAGAGTCATATTTCTTTTCACAACAAATTGGATCTTATCCCAAAAGGATTTGCTTTATGGCAAAGCCAGACAAAGAAAGTGAAGCTCATGGTTTATTCCAGTGTCTCAAAATGTTGTGACGGGCTGAACAGTGCCTGGCACCATGAGTGTTACACAGGCCTGAGTTTTACTGAAGGTTGCTCCCATTCTGGAGAAGCAGCAATGCAGTCCCCCTCCTGAGGGCTGCAGGGGAAGGGCTGTGCTGTAGGTGAGATGCAGGACATGCTCCTGCCCCCTGCTCAGGGATCCCTGCAAAGCAGCCCTGCCTTGGGACTGACGGCTCCTGCAAGCAGGAGAGAGCCGGAGGTGCTGAGCAGAGCTGTGACCACAGGACACCTGCACAGGAGCCCTGAGCAGGGCTCGGCTGGGCTTGCCACAGGAGGGATGAGAGGGGCGTGGGGGGCTCAGAGCACGGCAGCTCCCTGCCATGCTGCAGCTACAGGGGTGCTCGTGAGTCTTGGCTGCATTTGCCACGGGGGCTTCACGGCTGTAAGGAGACCACAAAGCAGTTTTCACCCTTGTTTCCCTCCCTCTTCAAGAAATGCACCCCTCTTTAGTCAGACTGCTCTGGAACAGAGGTGCAGTTGGAGGAACAGGCAGAGTAACCTTGAGCCCCTGAGTTCCTGCCTTTTTAGACAATTGAATGCTTCTAGCCAACCCCTGGCACCAGTGAGCCAGGCAGCTGCAGCACATTCCAAATATTGCTCTATTTAAAGCATCCCAGGGCTCTCAGAGCAACTGCAGAGGCAAACCTTAACCTGCCATTAAACTAGCTGAGGGGGAATGGCAGAACCAGGTAAGAGGCACAATTACATGGAATGTAATAATATACTGAAATTAATAGATCTGAGCAATGCAGTGTGAATACACCCCGCTGCCTGTATTCTTGTCTGATACACTATATATATTTTACTTTTCAGTAAGAAAGTGTAATCTCTTTAAAAGCTAATTCTATTAACAGCTTGGGTTCCTCCTGTATTTTTGAATCCTACCAGTTTTGTTTTCTTTATGTTTTGTAGTTGTCATTCCAGGTTAGCTGACACAACAGGACAGTGTGTAAAATGAGTTGTATTTGGCAGCATTTTTGTTATACTGTGTGGAGCTGAGCTCCAAGTGTAGTGCCAAGTGAACACAGAATAATTTAGATTTTAACTCCACAAAGCTCAAGTGGCAGAGCAAAATGAAATTTTAATAATGACCTTTCCATTGTAAGCACACTTTACTTTCTCCAAGGAGAAAAGGCAGTTTCTAAAAATGCATTTTATATGTATTGTACATTTTTATTTATTTCACTTAAATTTACAACTGTAGCTGTGGTGTGTGCTGTGTGCAGTTACTCAGGTAACACTTGTGAAGGGAGCTTTTTAATACATCTTCATAGCTACATTCAGTTTTTAAAGACTTTTCTCATGGTTGTTTTGTTTTTTGTTTTTTTTTGCACCAATGACTCTGGCATCTAGGGAGAGTGAATTTCTGCTAAGGTACAAAAGGACACTGAATACTATTTATTTGAGTTTTCATTGATAGCCCCAGAAATTGCCCAGTTTTTAAATACTTTTCTCCTGGGTTTTTTTTGCACCAATGACTCTGGCATCTAGGGAGAGTGAATTTCTGCTAAGGTACAAAAGGACACTGAATACTATTTATTTGAGTTTTCATTGATAGCCCCAGAAATTGCCCTGATACTGGTTTATATTGGAGCTCAGCTCCCCTTACAAATCCCCCCAGCGGGCACATCAGCAGAGCTCTGACAAAGCCCTCTGTGCCCCCCAGCAGGATCCAGCCCTGCCTTTGTGATCAGACCTTCAGAGAAAGTGCAGGGAAACCATCCCAGCAGCTTCACCTGGCGTCACAGCAGTGAATGTCTCAAATGAAACAGCTGGGGGCTCCCCTGGGCCAAAAGGACAGCCAACTTCAGGGCAGGATTTTGTAATGTGTCTGTGTGGTTAATATTTCCACGGCAGCACACGCAGATCTGTCCCTCTGGCAGGCACACTGTGCAGTGTCTTGGTGAGACAGGTGTGCTGTGCAGAGCTTTAGAAGAACAGTGAGGCAATCCTTAAATTAGTGAGCATCCCTGAGTCTGCCTGCTCGATCTGAACTGTGCAAGGCGTTGTGGACAGTTTTACATCATTTACTAATCCCTTCAGAACCTGTATTAATCCCTGTAATTCTATTAACTGTGTAAAGATGTGCTGTAAGAGGCTGTAGCACGTTGGTAAGTAAGAGGATCTCAAAGGTTGTTATTCTGCTTTCTGGCAAGGGTGTGCTGCTTGCACACACCGACAGAAGGGTCCGTGAAATTCTGCTCCTGTGTGGAGATGGAAAGCCAGTGCTGCTGCCCGTGTGCTGTGCAGAGAACCGGCCTGCCCTGGGCTCCTCTGAGGGCTCTGCTCCTGCTGGGCAGTGCCACCGCCAGGCCTGGCCTTGGTGGCATTGGCTCAGCGAGGTCCCCACGGTGTCACTGACCCTGTGTTCTGTGCCAGCCCAGGCCCCGCTGTCCCGCCTGCTCGTCCCCGTGCTGCTGGCACTGGGCTGGATCGTGGGCTGTGCCCTCATGGTGTACATTGTCTTCTCCTGACCACGGAGGGATGGCAGTGCCACACGGCGCCCTGCGGTAAGTGACGGTGACACACAGAGCCCTGTGGTGACAGCAGTGTCACATACAGCCCTGCGGTGATGGCAGTGTCACACACACACAGCCCTGCAGTGACAGCAGTGTCACACACACAGAGCTCCGCGGTGACAGCAGTGTCACATATAGCCCTGCGGTGATGGCAGTGTCACACAGCCCTGCAGTGATGGCAGTGTCACACAGCCCTGCAGTGATGGCAGTGTCACACAGCCCTGCAGTAACAGCAGTGTCACACGCAGCACCAGAGTTTGGGTGGGATGTTCCCAGTCCCACGCCAAGGACAGCGGCTTTGCCCACCTGCTGCGTCTCTCCTGCCCCAGGGGCTGACACCAGCCCAGGGAAGAGGCTCACCTGCTCCTGCTTGTTCCCGCAGCGCCTCACACCTGGGCATACCTGTGCCCGTGACCCCGTTATGCCCCCAGACCTCCCCGGCGGGGCTGAGGGCGCTGCCTTGCTCTGGGTGGCAGCGCAGAGAGAACAACGCGCGGCGGCTCCGCTCCGGCACGGTCCGGTCCGGCACGGTCCGCTCCGCTCCGCTCCGGCACGGTCCGCTCCGCTCCGGTCCGGCACGGTCCGGCACGGTCCCGGTGGGGGGGGGCGCGCCAGGTGCGCTCCGCGAGGGGGCGCTGTCTCACCTGCCCCCGCCCTCAGGAGCCCCCCGGCCCCGCTCCGCTGTGAGCCCCGGGACCCTCGGAGCCCCCGGTCCCGCTCCGCTGTGAGCCCCGAGCCCCGGGACCCTCGGAGCCCCCGGGTCCCGCTCCGCTGTGAGTCCCGGGACCCTCGGAGCCCCCGGCTCCGCTCCGCTCTGAGCCCCGGGACCCTCGGAGCCCCCGGTCCCGCTCCGCTGTGAGCCCCGAGCCCCGGGACCCTCGGAGCCCCCGGCCCCCCGGGACCCTCGGAGCCCCCGGGTCCCGCTCCGCTCTGAGCCCCGGGACCCTCGGAGCCCTCCGGCCCCGCTCCGCTCTGAGCCCCGGATCTGCGGGCAGCTGGAGCCCCGCGCGGCCCGGCCCGCTGCGGGCACGGCTCAGGTAAGAACCCCGGCTCAGGCAGGAGCCCGGGCGGGATGAGTGGCGGGAGCCACCCGGCCCATGGGAGCCCCCCTGGCCCATGGGAGCCCTCCGGCCCATGGGAGCCCCCCGAGCCCATGGGAGCCCTCCGGCCCATGGGAGCCCCCCGAGCCCATGGGAGCCCCCCGGCCCATGGGAGCCCCCCGAGCCCATGGGAGCCCCCCGGGCCCATGGGAGCCCCCCGGGCGCGGGGCACGGCGCAGGCGAGGGCGCTCCCTCTCCTCTGCAGGGCCCGCCTGGCTCTGCTCTCCGTCTCCAGCCCCGTTCCGGCTCTCTCCGAGCGCTGGAGGCTTTTTTGGGTCCTTGTTCTGTGCAAAGCCGTGCGGAGTGTTGGTTCCGGTGTGAAGCGTTGGTTTCTGTGCGAAAACAGGCGCTCCGGGTCTCCCCTCTCCGAGAGGCTCGCTCGGCGCAAAGCCGCTCCCGGGAGCTGTGAGAGGGATTTGTGTGTCGTGGTCTGTGTTTTCTGACCTGTGGGGCTCAGGGGCAAGCTCAGACATCTATTTGCAGAGAATTTGTATTTTCATAATTCCTATGAAGAACACGCACTGCATTTGGCTCATAATTTCAGTTTATTATCAAAATGTTTTGATCAGATGACAAACTCGGCTAAAAGGACATAGGTTTTTAAATAGACCTATTGTAGCAGTCATCTGAGGTATCTGGTACTTGGTTTGGAAATGTCTTTGCTTTGATAAACAAAGCAGTAAGTTCCTTTGCAATCTGCATGAGGATGTTTAATACATATCATTGCAGATTTAAAGCCTTTTACCCTCTTACTTAAAGCTCCTTCAGACTCTTGCAATCAGCTGTGCAGCTTTCCTGATGTGAGGACTGCCATTGGTCAGAACACATACAAGTTATGTGCAGGATCAGAGCCTAAGCACTGACGGTCAGCCTGAAAACTCCAATGCTTGTGCCCTCCTTTGGAGAACTCAGTTTTGTAGGCTTTATCTTATTGTCCGATACCATGCTTTAGTCCAATTTCCCAGTTCTATGCAGCCACTGATAAAATATGTTACAATACTTCAAGTCAAAAGTGTAGCTCGAGATTTAAATATAAAAACTATGATTTATACATTACTAGAAACTTTAAAAAGAGAAATTTTAGAGAAAGCAAGATAAAGCTTAGAAAATGGTGAAAGGGTCTTTGATCACAATCTTACAGATTATAGCTACAGAAATTAATAAATTACCTATGATTTCAGTTGGGCTGGAAAGCTGTAAATTAACTGTTGTAAATAGGGACTTCAGGTAATACACGCTGGAGTAATTAGTGAGAAGTAACTTAAGTACAGCAGGTCTTGGACTCCTCTTGTATAAATGGTTTCAAGTAAAATTGAAAACATTTGGTAGAACAGATTTCCCACAACAGCAGAGGGTACAGAGTCTGACACTGGGATATAAACTGTCGTCTCTCTGTCGTGTTATGATGGCTAAAATGTGTCTTACTGAGTCCTTCCTACTCCCTGATGAGAAATCTGCATTCACGGACCCGGGGGAGATCATGTGTTACACTTTGCCGTTTCGGAATGCATCCCAAAAGCCACGGGCTGCGGGGCAGGTCACAGCTGCAGTGAGGTGTGCCTGTGCACTGCCAGGGACTTGGGTCCTGCGGGGAGAAACAGCCAGCCAGGCAGCCCCGCGCTGCCTTCCGTGCTGCCATGGGCCATGATTTGGGGTTTGCATGTTTACCGAGGATTACAGCCATGTCTCCAGCATGTTCCACTCAGCTTGCTTCCCTCCTCCCCTTCTCAAAATCAGCTGGAAAGGTCTCTTTTCCTGGAAAGCTCCTTGAGATGTGAGGTTTGCAGTCCGTCACCAAACGCGGCACTTCTTGGCAGGGTCCATGTTGTCTCTCGTGGTGCATGAAAAGGCTTCTGAAAACTCTGGGGAGTTCTGCAGTGACCCCAGCACCCTTTAAAACAAAGCAACACGCTGTCATTGCTGCTGGCCTGGGTTTGAAACAAACAACATGAGCCACATTTTGTAACTTGTTTTGTTGTGTCACCTCAGTGTAGTGTGGGGAACGCCCTGTTGCTGAGCTCTGATTTGCTTCATTTCACCTCAAGGGCTGGCTGTTGTTTTCTTCTGCAGTTCATCTTGCCCCTGTTGCAACCCCAAAAATACAGGACCTGTCCCCTCCTCATGGCTGGCTCTCACAAGCCAGTTTTTTCCCCTAGAACAGATTTCTCACTTGTCAGTAGTTTTCACTGAGGGTTTTTTCAGCTACGTTTTGCTGACAAGTTTCTTGGTGAAGGGAAAACAAGACCCTGAGGTCAAGGGCTGTGGTGGTAACTCGTCAGTGAATGTTCATTTACATTTTTACACCAACCAGGTTTCTACTGAGATCATGCTGCTGCTCTGGGCGTTCTGCACAGATTTTCCAGTGAATGAGTTTTCTGGCAAAAAGTCTCATACAAACAATGGCTTTCAACTCAACATGGGAAGTGAGTATGAGGCCATTCCAGCTAAGGCTGATTTTATATGTGTAATTGTGAACATGTGTGAATAGAGTCACTGGTTCCTTCAGGACTGGGAATACAGCAGCACACACCTATGCAGGGAAACAGGTCAAATACAGATACTGATGGACATTGATTGTGGCCCAGAAGTTCTTTAAAGAACTGTTTCTTTGAGTAATTCATGATTATTCTGAGAATTGTGTTCATCGTTAGAACCAGGGTGTGCCCACAGAAGCTGAGGTGAAGGTCAGCACTGACACTTGCAATACTTCAATTGTTCTAGAAGGCCAAAAGTGACTCCCTGGTCTTGGGAGCCAGCAGTGGAACAGGAGATGGCACAGAAAAGGGGTTATCAGAAACCTCATGCATTTTGGTGATCTAGCTGTGCTTCACTGCTCCAATGAACAAGGACTGCTAAAACGGGATGCACTGCAATTAACAATTTTTATGAGGAACTGCCTGTCCTGCTTGTAAGGACAAGCAGCCCACAGTCAGTGTAGCAGGTGTTGAAAAGGCTCATTGCAGTCCCCAGATAATAATCAAAAAAGGCACCTTGGGAGCCTTCGTGACACTTGTGTAGTATGTTATTAGGTGTTAATTTTGTGGGTATGTCTCATGAAATGTTTTCTATTTTAGAGCTCTTAGGGGGCCTCATCCTGTAAATGACTGTCCATTCTGAGGCTGTTGTCTGGTCTCTCATGAACACTTTTATCATTGCATGTGAAGTTTATGGCCTGTCCTACCGAGGTACAGACAGCACAGCACGATGTAATGTGTCCAGGGTACACACAAACACAGCTTGTTGCACTGAAATGCTTAACTAGTCAGCTTCAAAGGCCTTGTACCTCGTCCAAATCAGATGTGCTGAGGTTCTGAAGGGCCTCTGGAGCCTCATTAGCACTGAGACCAGACAGGAATGACTGTAGGAGCTGGTGCACAAACTGCCTCTGGGAGAGATCCCAGATAGCACAACCCACCCGCAGTGAAGGCAGGCGAGAACAGGGAGGGAACAGTCGCTGCTTTCACTAAATATCTGAGTGGGGGGGATAAACAAGATTTGGTGAAAAGCCGTTGAAAGAAAGATACTGGAATTAATGTAGTGGATTGTATCAGCACAGAACTTGGCTATTGTGGACATAGAGCCTGGAGATGACTCAGCCTTCCAGCAGATGCTGTGATGGCTGCACTGCCACTGATACCGTGGCATTGGACCAAACAGGTTTATTAGAGCACATTGTTACACTGCTGATGAATAGGCTGCTGTGATTCAGATAAAAAGAAAAGATCCTAGTCTGGCTCAAAGGCTTGCACCCTGAGCAGCCACGTTTCCTGCATGGCTCTACTGAATTGAGCCCAGCTGATCTTGGGAAGGCTGGCTGAGCACAGCAGACACAGAATGCACATCTGCTGTTGTACCCCAGCACATGGGTTTGTTAAGAGGGAGGGGCAGTGATCTCCCACTGATTCTACCTGTGACTTCAGTGGAGGGTGAAAGTTCATTCATGCTGTTGGTGTACAAGAACCCTATCAGGAGCTATTGCAAGAGCCAGGGAGCTGTGGGTGAGCCCTGGCTTCCAGACACAGCACTGGGACTCTGCAGTAACAGTCACACAGTGACAGCCAGGTGAAGGTGTGTGTCCTGTGGTGGAGACTGTTCAAAGCTGCTCCATAGTGTGGGCAGAATTAAGCTGGATCTTCTCAATGAGAATTGAGAAGAATTGAGACAACAATCCCACATCCTTCCTTTGCCCGTGGAGCTGCCTGGGAAGGGCTTTGCCCGTTTGGGCAGTGCTGGGCTGGAAGGGACAGGGACAGCCCAGCCCTCCTCCTAAGCAGCCCCAGCGTGCTCTGCCTGCAGATGTGTGCATGTTAAAGCTCCCCTGGGCAGGGCAGCCCAGCCCTTGGGCAGGGTCTCTTCAGTTCCCCCACAAAGAGCCCTGCTGCAGAGGTGTTACACCCTGGGGCTGTGCTGGGGGTGTTGGCTCTGCTGACCTGAATCTGCCTGGGCTGTGCACGTCTGTCTTGATGGAGTTCACTGCATATTCCGGTCTGTACGTCCCACACCACACCTGCACAGGTAACAAAGAAATGCATCGTTAGCCTAAGATTTTACAGGAAGAGACCTGCTGTCATTTAACTGTGAAACACCTAATGTTCATGAGAATAAATTCCACATTAGAACATAGAGAAAAAAGGGTGTATTTTGTTAAAAAAAGTACGTCATTGTCCTCAGACAAAGGCACTTGGGCACAAGGCGCTTCCTACCAGGCTTATAAGTGGCTGAATTAATTTCTTTAGGGAAGATAAAAATCACCTAACAAGACTATTTTCACTGCTTTGCAGTGAACACTGCTCAGCTCTGCAGCTCTGCCAGCTCTTAGCCCACGGGAGTCAGCCTGTTCTGACTTGCTGTTAAACTGCAACATCAAGTGGTTTTCAAAGCCCTCAGGCAAGAAGTAAAGGATACCTGTGCGAAGTTCAGAAAAAACAGCTGTTTGTGGTTCATGTCGAGACCAGGAAGAAGTTTTTCTTTTCCGTGTTTTCTCTCAAAGTTTTCATAAGCCTGTAGAATGAAGTGAGCAGAAATGTTACCACTTCCAGCATTTTTCTGGTCAAAATGAAATGATGACAAGGAGGAACATGGATTCTTTGACATAATTAATTGTCGCCTCCCATCCATCCCACACGTGCCACCTTGAAGCAGAAGACAACAGGGCCATTTCTTAGTACTGTGCTATTAATTATCTAATGCTGCATGATGAAAAAGAGATTTTTTCCACTGTGGGTATTTTTGGGGTTTGGTTTTTTTAAAGTGAATTGCAGAAGGCTTTAAAACCTTGCCATAGTAAGAACAGCTGCTTTCGTGTTTCTCATGGAGATGTGTCAAACGATGTGTTGTTAGTGTATCATCACTGATGAAAGATGCTGCAGAAATGTTCTGCCTGAAGTCAGTGCCAAAGCAACGCATGAGTAAAGCCCATCAACTGCCCAAGCGCAGCTGAGGAATGAGCAGATAGCAGGTCCATGGAAAAGGCTCTGGAAGTTTCCATGGATAACAGCTGAGTGAGAGCCAACAGTGCCACAGCACTGCAAAAGAGGCCAGTGTTGTACTGGGATGTGTAAACAGGAGTGGCTTATATGAAATACATGAAGTAATCCTTCTTCTCCACTCGGCCCTGGCCAGGGCTCAGCTGGAGTGCTCTGTCCAGTTTTGGGCACTGCCCTTCAAGAAAGATGTGGACCAACTGGAGAGAGTCCAGAAGAAAGCAGCAAGAATGAGCAGAGGTCCAGCAAACATGACCTATGAGGAAAGATTGAAAGAATTGGGTTTGTTTAGTCTAAAGGAGAGAAGTCTGGGCCTTGAAGCATGTAAGTCTTCAAATATGTGAAAGGTCACAGGAGAGAAAGGAGCAGATTGTTGTGTTTGCACTGCTGGAGGCAGAGCCATGGTGGCACTGGGAGTGCCAGGAGGACGCAGCAGGAATGCTCCTCTGGGAGGCTGGAAGGATGCAGAAGGGGTTGATTCTACCTGCATGGGGAGGGCGGTGGGATACTGACCTCTCAAGAGTCCTTCTGGACCTTTTTTTACTGTTTATATGATGTCATAATAATTTTTAATACTTCTGACCTAATTTTTCTGGCTACTCCCATTCCTTTCAGAAAGCGTATCCCCTTTCATGGCTTTGTACTTTGCACAAATATTCCAGTAACTGAAGATCAGACTAATCTAATAAGCCTGATGCCTCTTTTAGGCTTCCAAACCATTCCTTAAACTCTCATTAATAATCGTCTTTGCCCTCAAACATGTCCATTTCCAGTGAGAGCTTGGAGAAGCATGCATTGGCCCATGCATCCCAGAGGCTCTTTGCTGAGCAGTGACAGCACTCAGTTGTCAAGTGCTGAGTATTTTGCCACAGAAGAAGGTGTTCAGGGAAGGAGAAGGAGGAACACGTTGCTGAGGCTTGCAGCCATCAGATTTGTGAATAACAAGGAAAGCTGACAGAGAAGCTGACTCGCTACTCTCTTCCAGACCATGCTCACAAAAAGAACCTGTGTCTCTCTGACTCTCAGTCTCAACCGTGGCCAATCTAGGGAGTCCAGCAGCTGGTTGAGGAAGAGAAGGAAAGCAAAGCCAAAAAGCATCCAGCTCCCATGGAAGGCTTAGTGCAGGGAGTTCAGTGTCTCTGACATCTTGGGATACCAGCACAGAGGGCCCAAGTCACCTGCACAAGATGAAAAGCAAAGTGTTTATGTCTATGGGTCAGAACAAAGTCATCCTGCCCCTCCTTCCTGACATGAAAAACCTGGTGAAAAAGACAGCCAGAGGCAGACAGCTGCTGGTATCAGCACTTTCTTTAGGTCATGGTCCAAGTGTGAGCCAGTGAATGTTTCCATTCCACACATTCCTTATTCACAAAGGGGAAAAAAAATTGAAAAAGAGCTCCCTAGGAACAGGTAATCTATAGCCTGACATGAGTAACAGGATGAGAGAAATACCACAGCTGGCCAGTAGCTTTAATCCAGGCCTTGATGGTGCTGTAGGTCTGGTCCTGTCCCTAACACAGAAATTGTGTTTCTTCTTCCAAGGCTCTGAAACTGATTTTCTTAATCTCTGACAGTTTCAGCTAAAATAGAGAAATGGATATTTCTTACCTTGTATGCTTGTCTCACACCCCCGTTATCAGCAATGTTTTCTCCTAGTGTGTTGATTCCACTCAGCTGTAAAATAGAAAGGAAAAGTATTGTTTTTTGGGAAAAAAAGCTCATCCTGGACCTGTAACTCCAAACTTTGTGCATTTTCCAGTTTCTAAAGGCAAGAATTACCTTAAAATCTGAAAGTTTAGGAGAAGATTATGTTAAAATCTCTGAAAAGTCTTTATGTCCCTTGTCTCAAAATCCATGTTTTAAAATAATATTGTTTTTTCTAATCTTCTTCTTTCTCCTCCAGGCAACTTTCTCAGCTCTGTATCTCTTACCCAGATTTTCTGCTACTTAGTCATTGTTCATTTATTCTTCCTCTTTTCTCCTTGTCTTTAATGCTCAGTTTCTTACCACAGTTCCAGTTAGAGGAAGTGGACAGAATGTAGTCTGTAGAACAAGTTAAAATTCAAACTCCAAACTGCTGAAATTGTCTGTTAACAGACATCAGCAAACCTGCTAGAAGGTATTTTTCGGTATGGTAGGCGAGTTCAGAAGCTTCTTAGTAGCCAGATACGTAGAAGATCTCTATTTAGCAGGTATTCCTAAGTCAGTCAAACAGCACCAAAGATGATGAAGCTTTGATATTGGGAAATCTCTAATTCTATTTTAAAAACATCCTTGTTTTAACCTTTAGTCCATCATATTGATTAACGATAGTCAAAGCTGCAAAATCTAGAATCATCCTTTGATTAAATTTAATGTGTGAATGAAAGGGCAGCAAAACATATTGAAATTTCCTTCTCTATTTTTACTGGCCTCTCTCTGAGTTCCCATACTTCAACACATGTTTTGGGAAAACCTCACGGCTGGGAGTTTTATCTTTTCCCTATCCTGTATGATGGAATATATTGTGAGGCTGTAAAAAGCCAGCCAGCGGAATTGAGAGGAATAACTTCTTGTGCCTTCCATGTAGCACTGCGAGCAGGGCTGTCTGATCAAACCAGGAGCTCCTCAAACAGGACCTACGTTCTGTCCACCTGCCAGGTCCCACGAGAAGTTCCCATACTGGTACACCATGCACTGGGAGAGCTCCTTGAAATTCCGTGCTGATTCTTCAGTCCACCAGTCCACGAGGTCTCCATCCTCATTAAAATTCCTGCCTGTAACAGCACGTTAAACAGAATTATTTATACAAGAAAAGAGGGTTTGGTGCAGCGAGGAGGGGAGCGAGCAAGACTTTGGACTGTGCTCTTGGGAGAGCAATACTGCAATGCCTCAGAAATCCAGACTTCATCTTACATGTGGAAATCCATCTCCCTCTTACGTGCTCCCTGGAAGGGTTAAGCACTACAGCCTGTCAAACAGCCTGTGCAGGAGTGCTGTCACTAGCAGCTCAGTGCTCACCGTTGTCGTCAAAGCCGTGCGTGATCTCGTGCCCGATGACCATTCCTATGCCGCCGTAATTCAGAGATTTGGGCTGGGAGGCACTGAAGAAAGGGGGCTGCAAAATGCCCGCAGGGAAGACTGAAAAAGAAGCCACAGCACAGTTAAGGCCCTGCCCCATTACCCTGCAGGTACAGTGGGGCCAGACACTTCCATGGGCTTCAGCCAAAACCACCCTGTTCCCTCGGATCTCCCAGCAGCGACTGACACATGGGAATGCTGCAGGACAGGAGCAGCAGAGCAGCAAGACCACCCCCCTCTTCAGACACTTCCACAGTCATGACCAGCTTTTGCTTTGTTACTCTTTTGCTCTGCAGGAAAAAGCAGTTTGTTCCAATTTACATCACTTAGCATTCACAGACTTCAGTCTCATCATTAAACAAACCTCACAACATTGTGAGAAGTGGGAGGGTGTCCCCCAGGAAGAATAGATTATTTGATCATTCCATCACAAATCAATCTCAGAGACAGGAATTTATTCTTCCCTTGAAAATACAAGTAACTCCCACTGGAATCAATAAAAATAGGCCAAGCTGTCAATAAAAGAACTGGAACAAAGCAGTTCCATTTACCCACTTCTCTGCTCATTTTTCTAGGCTTCTTCTAAATAACAATTCTTTTAAAAAGAAACCATGTTGCAATTCTGATATTTTTAAAAATTAAGAGTAATAAAATGCTATAAAATATTCAGTTTCACTTAGTATCTTGAAGGCCTTTTCCTGTCTCCCTGCTGCTGCTGCAATATGGAGTTTTAATTCTCCCTGGGAAGGAGGTGGATGTAGCTCTACACAACTTAAACAGACAGAAGGAATTGAGTGACAGTTCTCACACAGCAAAAGAAAGATTGATACTTCTTGCATTTCAGTACAAATCCAGTTCGGTTCTAGGGCTTCCTTTCAGGATGAGAAAGAGCCATGGGCAAATCAGCAAATAACAACCAGGTTAGAAGTGAGCCAGTTGTGCTGCGTGTGCAAGCTGCTGTCACAGCAGTCCCAGGGCAGTGCTGGTTTGCTCTGGAATGGATGCCCCACTGTTTATGCTGTTGTCAGGGAGCACGGATGGTATCAGCACAGTGAGGAGCCACCTCTGGAGCTGCAGCCTGTGGGAGCTCTGCCCCAGGAGGGGACAGGGCTGTGCTGCCTCAGGCAGGTGCTCCTGGGGGAGCCCACCGGGGCTGCCTGGCCAGCAGCAGCTCAGCTGCACTTCGGGAGCTCAGTGGGCTCCTCTTGGTCTGAGCTGCTGATGGAGCACAGCAGGTCAGGCCGTGCCCAGATGGAGTGACAGAGCTCCAGGTTCCTTACACATCATGCACAGAACTGCTCTTTAGAGGGTTTTTAAAAGTCTAGTTCTCAGCTAATTCAGACATCACTCTAAAGATCAGACTGCTTTAATTATCCTGTGCATGCCATAGTTAAAGGATGAGGTAAGAATTTATGACTCACATTAACTGCCAGTCACCAGTTTCAGTCTTCCACATCATGATTCCTTTCCTACAAATTACTGAACAAAGCTATTTTAAACAAAGCCTTCTGGAAGTTTTTGTGTTAACTGTTCAGTCAAGAGCTAAATGCTCACATCGAGAAATAATCTTGTTTCATTTGTGTGCAGAGCCCTGCAGGACAAGGCTTTTCCATTTTTTTAGCCTTTTTTTCAGGAATTACAGGTGGATCACAGTACCTCACTGATGGCCTAGAAAGGACACTGCAGTCTATGACATTTGGATGACTAAAATTTAAACACTATTTTCAGAATGGATGTGACAGAAATACTGAGAAGCATAATTAATGTTGTGAAATGTTTCGTGACTCTTGTGAGCCTTGCAGCACTGTGAAGGGAGCTGGGATGGTTCACAAGATGAGAAACCTTGGGGCCTCCATGTGGTTCTAATCTTTAGCCAGGATGGACAGGGCTTTTTATTTCCATGTATGGTTTTGGGTAGGCTGACATTAGGAATCTTTACAGTCAAATTTGTTGTAACAAGATCATTTCACTTCCTGTTTTTAAAAGTACATACGTACATACATACATACATACATACATAAAAAATAAATAGGTAAACCTTACCTATCTGATTCCTACTTGCTGAGTAAAAAGCATTGACAACAGCAGCTCCACTTATCCACCTGGTAACACCAGAGGAATCAACGTTAGTATTTCAATTGTTAATGGTAAAGTTAATGATTGCTAGAACAAGCCTAGAAACTGTGTAACTGAATCACAGAATATTTGAAGTTGGAAGATACCTTCTCCTGTGGAAACTGGATAAAAGACTAGACAGAGTATTATTAAATACTTACTCTTCTTTGTCCACCTTTTCTCTAAGCTTTTTCAACCTTTTCTTCTGGGTAAATACTAAATTTTGAATAATGTTTTCAAAGTATTCTTCTTCTTTGTAGTTCAACTAAAAAGAAAGGGGGACGAGGAGTTAGTGGTGGTGTTACTGATTTGGGATAAAAGCCACATGAATCAGGAACATCTAGTCTTAAGCACGATGAGCTAAGCAACACATTTCTAAGAATATGTTTTGATCTACAATTAGACCTTGGTTTGCAGAGCTCTGCTACATCACAGAGTTGATATTGTAGCTGCATCTATGTTAGCAGCCGGGTACTTTTCCAGAGCTCTTCATTCTCTCTTTCTAGACATATTTTGAGTGGAGTTCAGCAATTGCTGGTGTTGTCCTTAACCTCTGGAGCTGCCTGCTGCAACCCAGCAGCTGCCAGTTTGGTAAGGAGCAGTTCCACCTCAGACAAAACACCAGTCAGCTCTGTGCCCGTGCAGGCACTGCGCCCAGTGCTGGGCCAGTCTGTGCTGATGGAATGCTGCACCGAACACCACTGGCTCCATGCTTGCCCTCACATAATCCCAGCAGAATGTGGACATGTCCTTGGAATGCCACCAGAGCCAGGCACATCTGCGTGTCATCCCATGCCAGGCTGGCTGGTCACACCTCCTCCCTTCCCCTGCAGCTGGGCACACACGGGCTCGTGGGGCAAGGAAAGCAAATGACTCTTTTCTTCTCTGAAAACCCGTTTGTAATTCTCCTGCCTGTTGTGCAAACTTACCTCCTGGTACTCACTGTTGAGCTTGTCGTTATCCGTCACGATCTCATCCGGATAACCAATCCTCTCTCTAATTGCTCTTGCCTAGGGACAAAGGAATTTGATATCCATAGTAAATCCAGCCATGGTTTTAAATAATAAATTATATAAGAAAGGCAATATAAAAGCCACTGCAGGAACCACAGGATGTTAATTATATATAGATTTTGTTTAAATTTTTTATTCATTGAAAGCACAAGTTTATGAGTTTTATCCTGCTCCTCCTAATAGCTGGTCAAATGAACAGAAATCATTCCTTCTCAGTATTGTTTTCCTGTAGATATTCATTATCTAGCTCCTTAATCACTGATTTGCCTGAAAGGTCTTAATCTTGTATACAGATTCTTCCCATTTTGTGTGCCTATCTCCAGAGGCCCCCTCCCTTGGAATCCTAAACTGTGCCTATGTAAGCACAAATATAAATGTGTTTGTATTAAAATATAGTGATAGAAGTTACTACTTACTTTTTGTCAGGACAAACAATTGAAATACTGATTTTTATAGAACTACACATTACCAATATTTCAGACAGAACTTACTTTTTGTTCTGCTCTCTTTTTGGTCTCTGCATCCATCCAGGTAAGTTCATCTAAGGTTTTTATAAAAACATCACGTATATCTGCAATCATTTCTTCAACCTGGAAAAAACATCAGAATGTTACAAACCCACAGAGTACGATGGTGGGCAATGCAGTTCAGTCGTGCAGGTTACCAAAACCTAACAGACATTGCCCCGCTGCATGTCGTGCATCTGAGGGAATCGTTGTGTTTGTGCCAACCCGAAAAATGGGTGGCTTCACACCAGGATTCCAGTGGTGATGGCAGTCAACTAAGGCTTTGCTCCAGGTCCATTTTCAGGAGCTTTCTGTGTGGCTGGAGGTGAACAGAAATAACGAATTGCCCCTGTGCCCAGGGTGGCAGGATGTGAACTGGTGTCAGTCTCAAAGAACAGCAGTGGTGCTGGTGCCAGCGAGTGCTGCTCCTGGGATGTGAGGGTTGGCTCGTGCACAGCTGCCCATGGACCTGGCTCAGAGAGCAGGCAGGGGCTTTCTCCCTCCAGCTGTGCACCCGCAAGCCTCACATTTCACACCGGACTCTGATAAAAACTTGCATTTTTAAACCCTTATAATAACCGTTATTAACACTTCAACAAAAACTTGCAAATCAAGCCCACTTTGATTGGGCCGTAATGAAAAGCGCAATCAAAGCTGTGTCAGTAGCGCGTGGCGGTGATGAAGTGCCCCTTTGGTGGCACTCAGGCTGAGGGGCTGAGGGCTTTACCACGTGCTTGCTGTCCCCAGCAAAGGCCTCCTCCACGTAGAGCCGGCCCACGGCGCTCTCCATGTTCCCGTTGACGTAGTTGGCGCAGCGGCGCCACACGGCCGTCTCGGAGGTGGTGCCATAGAGGGCCTGTGGGACACACAGCAGGGCAAACGGGGCTGGCAGGGAGCTCCTCCACCTCCGTGTGCCCCATGCCCCGTCTGGGGCACCCGGCTGGGCTCACTCTCCAGCGGGAGGATCACTAGGAAAACTCTTACAGAGGAGGAGGTTCTGCTGTGGAAATACACAGAACTTCCGTGCCCAGTTGCTGAAATTGCTCAGCATTTCCTTAAAAGCACTAAGCTATCAGCAGGATCGAATGACTGAAAACCAGGATTGGGGCCGTAATGGTTGCCTCGGAATATATCCCTTTGGATGGTGAAGAGTTTCTAATAAGTCAATCAGATCTGAAATCCCTTGCAAATAAATGTGACTGTTCTGATACCAAAATGGGGATTAATTTAGATTCAGAAAAATAAGAGACCAGGTACCCAAGCAGTGCTTTCAAATCCACTCAGCTATCAGGCATAAATCCCATAAATTATAGATACACTCCAGCAGAGGCTCAGCAAACACATCTGGCTTTTGTGTGTAAAATCCAAAATACATGAAATATTTATATACTACACCTACATAAAAAACTTATCTTTTGTGGCTCACAAAAGCCATAATTAAAACGTAGGGAGGGATGAATTTCTGCACCTTACGGAAAGCATTCCTCGTGTCCTTGTAGTCCCGGCTGAGGCTGTTGACAAGATCCATGACAAATCGCCAGGCCATGTAATTCTGAAGGTCTCTGTTTAACAAAACAATGATAAAACGCTGGTGAGGTGATGTTTTGAGGCTTTTTAAGTTTGCTGGAAAGAAGATGCAAATAGCATACTCAACACACCTACCTGGAAGAGTATTTTACGAGAATAGACCTGAGCTTGACAAGGTAGTCAGGGTCATAAACAATGACGTGTTCCGTGTTGTCAACGTTGATTTGCACAGTTGACATGATGGCATTTATGAATTCTGACCAGTTGAACACCTGGAAAATCAATATGCATTATGATATGGTTCGATCATAAACAGTTTAAATATGTTTGCATGACACAGCTGCTCTGCCTTTAGTTTCCCTAATATTTGCACTACTTATAAATGGGGTCATTGTAATAATAGCTGGCCTGAGATCATTTATAGCTCTAAAAATGTTGTTAGCATAGGGGGGTATTTGGCAGAAGGGGTAGAGATATTGCTTTGATTTCAAACTAACACCTTTTTTTTTAATTTTTAAAGTTTCTGTTCTGCCTATTACTTTAAAAAGTGTTGGTGATTTTTCCCTGCCTGTGTCTTTGGAAAGGTTTATTGGGAGAGGTAATGTCTTCCATCAGACAAGTGGAAGTAGCTGAGGAGAGCAGACAGGCTTTAAGGAACAGTCACTGCAGGTCTGGGAGAGAAGCAGCAAACTTCAGGCTAATCTTGGGAATAATTGCTGTTCTATCCTTAGACATTACAACACTACCAACTCCCATCAAGTGTCTTTTGAGCATTTTGGAATAAATTTAAATTAGTGCTGATCTGCAGCACCCCCCAGGAACTAATAATAACCAGGGCAATGCCATTCTATGACAGGAGTTGTTGTTTTCTGACAGGATGACTGTAATGGTAACCAACTACACCTGTGGGAGACGGTGAATTATGAAACCAATTAAACCAGGCAGGAGGGAACTGTCAGAGAATTAAAGTCAATAAAACTGCAGTGAATATGAAAAAGTGCCAGGAATAACAGTGTTTCATTGCACCTTACTGGCCTCAGAAACCTCAATAAAAGTCACGAGAATAAAAACTACCCATGTTCAGTATGACATTATGTTCCTGAGGAGACAGAGCTGTGTTAGCAAAGCCTGGGCTGGTTTTCAGCTGCACTCTGGTGCCATGAGTTAAAGGCTGCCCTGCACAAACAGCACATGGCTCAGGGTGGGAGCAGAGCTGACACATCCCGGGGGAGCTGCAGTGGGAGGCATGTGGAGAGCTGTCCTGATTCATGGGCCTGACAGCCTGGGCTCCTTTCTGCTTGCCCTGGGAGCAGAAATTACAGAGGCAATGTTGGACAAACTGGATTTTTGTTCAGAATCTGCAGCTCTGGATAAACAGAGTGGGGCTGAATAGTTCACTAAACATCCCTGAACCAGCTGGTGGCTACAGGCTGGACTTCTGTCCTGGGCCCTGAACCCATGAGGATAAGGAACAGGATCAGAGAACCACAGAATGGTTTGGCTTTGAAGGGATCTTAAAGATCATCTATTTCCAACCCCCTGCCATGGGCAGAGACACCTCCCACTGGAAATTTTTTTCCTTTGTACTTTTCCATCTTTTTATGTTGAGGCAAATGGGAAGATGTGCCTTCAGGTCAGGAGAAGCAGTGGGTACAGAATGTGCATACAGTTCAGTGTCATCAGAGGAGCAGGTAGGACTGTGCACATCAGGGATCCTGTTCAATTGCAAATATGTCATGTCTTTAACAGGAAAACAATCCAGCCTTCGTTGTTTAATCCCATCAGTGATAAATTAGAGGTTAAAATACCAGGTTATTGACCACTCACCTTATGATTGATTTCCAGTGAGAAGTTGTTTTGGAGTTGTGCCAAGGTCATTTTATTGTACAGCAGAAGTGGATCATTTCTGTCTTCAGATTTTGTTGTTGCCTGTCAGAGTTAATCAGGAGAAAATTACTGAGTATATTGAGTCAGTTCCCAGGAGTTTTGGTTCTGATCAGGGTGCACTGCTGCCCTGTGTGTTCTTTGTGACCCACAGCACTGCTGGGAAGGCACAGCCCCCAGCTCACACAGCTCTGTGCTGCTCTGGGCACTGGCAGTTTGCACTGCTGAGTTCAACATCTGCATCCACAGCAGCAGATGTTACCCTTTTGAAGTGCTTTGAAAAATCAGTTATGCCAAACCTCCTTTTATCCTTCTCTTCCGCTTCCTCTTTCCTATTCTATTGTGCATTCAGTGGGTTTTTTCTGTGTTTTTTTAAACAAATTCCCAAGAGCACAATGCCAGCTCTCTTCAGTCACATTGAGGCTGATACTGAGTTTTGGATGAAAGGTTAAAATCCCAGGCAGTGGCAGCTTCCCCAGCACCAGCTGGACTCCACCAGCAGCACTGCTGCAGGGACACTGCAGGCGTGAGTTCCTCTCTTTCTCCTCTTTAAAGCCTTTCTTCAGTGAATTCCCTTTTTGATAATAATTGCCCATCTCTGAGCCAAGCCCAGAGGTGTGTTTCTCACAAAAATGAAGAAAATCCGAACCAGACAGTTTTAGTGTATATAAGCGGTTTTCCCAAGTATGTGACCTTACTATCCATGTAACTTCAAAAATAGCTGAAGCTATAAAATATGTATTCAGCCTGTTTCGTGGTCATCCTCAGCTTCAGGTCCTGCTGCAATGGTTAATAATAATAAGCCATGGTTTGCTCATGAAGGCCTTTGGTTTTCTCCATGCACATTCAAACCCTCACTATTCCTCCAAAGTCATATTCATGATATTATTTTTCCTTTGTCCTTTTCTTTTAAGGGAGAACAGTGTTTGGTAAAAAATGCCCTTGGAACAATCAGCATTGTGGAGCAGTTTGTGCAGCACAAACATGACTTTGTGTTCACAGCAGGCCAAGGGCTGGGAATCTGCTGCTCTGGGATCCAAACAGCCCACAGGGAAACAGGACAAAGGGAGGAGAGGCCCCAAAGCATCTCCCAAAACTCACGCTCTAAACCACATTAACCAAATCCCAAGTCTGTCTCTCTCTGCTCTTGCAGGGCTTCTGTGAGCAGATCAGGATAACACGTTTTGTTGTTTGGAAAACAGCTGCCTCAAATACTTTCCCTTGGTCCTCCCAGGACACAGCTGTTCCTTCAGGTGTAACAGGCTCCATACGTTTCTACTCCCACAAAGCAGCACCAGCAAGGAAGTTAACCACTCACTGTACAGTCAGCTCGCTTAGGTATTATGAAAAAGTCAGTTATTTAAAGGATAGTTTAAAGAAGTTGTTCTTACATTGGCAATCTCTTTCTCCAGGTCCATAACTCTTCTCATTTGTGCAGAAATCTCACTCTCATTGACAGAAATATTTCTTTCTTGTAGGATTAGTTTAGCTACAGAAATCATGAAATCAACATAGGCGGAACATGCCTGCAGGAAAAAACAGGAACAGTTTAAAGACAAAACTCTTCCAAGGAGAGCATACCTTGATTATGTTCAGGATTTCATCTTCATTTTTATGAACTACAGTTCTTCATCCTTATTTAAACAGGTCAATTTTATCAGAAATGCTGTTAGGTCACAACTAGAAATTAACTGTGAACATTCCCTCATGGAGCACTGCTGGGTAACTGGAGCACTGTTCAAAGCTGAACGCTCCCAATGACTGCACTGTTTTCATTATTTAGAATGAGACATTTGTATGTCCATATTTAAACCATCACCCATGTTTTTTCTAGCTCGCTTTAATTACAACTTCCAAAAATACCACTTCCAAAGAGCTGTGTTCCCAGGAACATAAACCGAGGGAATTGGCTTTGTGGGAAAAGCACTCCCAGAAACTGTGAACCTCCTCCAGTGCTTCTTGGAACAGTCAGAACTCATGTTGCTGTATGCAAAGTTAGGTGTACTATAGACAATTTATATGAAATCTAACATTAAAGAGTTCAGTAATGATAAGAATGTGAACACAGCAGCAAATTCTCTGAAATGTCACACAGCCAAATATCTCAAGGTGTCATTATATTTTATGGAACCTGTTTTATTGTAATTCCATTATTATGTGTAATTCTAATTCCTCATTGGTAAGTCACACTCATTTTTCTATCAACAGAAATGCTGTTTTCAATATTCCTTTTCAAAGCAAATAAAAAAACATACATAGGTGCTGGATCAGCTATCAAATAATAAATCTGGTTTATGCAATGTAACCCACCAAGCCAGCGATTAAACCTAGGATTAATAAGGTGTGCATGTCATCAGCTTTATTGATGAAGCATTTTGGTACGTTCAGCTCCTAAGGCAGGGCACACACCTCTTTAATGAGTGCTCCTCGTGTGCAGCCATTCCCTGTCCCCTCCTGGGCACCCTCCCTGCCAGGCTGTGCCCACCTGGGGCTGTGGCACCGCAGCCTGCACAGAGCTGCCAGCAGGGACAGGGACAGGGACAGGGACAGGGCTCAGCAGCACAAAGGGCTCAACTCCCAGTGCCAGTTACAAGCAGGAGAGCTCATTTCAGAAAGAGGAAAGCCCATGAAACCACTGACAGCTACAAGAAGTCACAAAAGACAGTGCACACCAGCACTGTAAAAACTGTCATAAAATTCAATGTAGCTATTACCTCAAACCAGTAAGCTAACAGAGATTTTTAGGTACCAATCAATGACTTTATTTTTCTGCTAAGTGCAGCTCTGACATCAGGTAGCAAAGAACTAAGTCAGGTAATTTCATCTGGACTATATAAATAGTCTCAGCAGTTTCAGTGGAAGCTTAAGGCATGCAGAGCCACCTTGTATCTTACAAGAGAAAAAGATTTAAAAAATATCTAATTGGCAGGTTCCACCTGTAGCTCTGAGTGGGCAGTGCTGCTGGGGGCAGAGGCCTGGAAGGGGCAGGAGGCAGAGATGATTTTGCTGTGCAGCTCCTGGAGTGGATAACAGCAGGAAGCAGAGGCAAGGGCAGGAGAGCGGGCTGGGAGGGAGCAGCCCTGGCGTGGAGCACTCCTGCTTGGGAGGACACTGGGGACCTGCCTGCCTGTCATACAGCTGGTTTTTAACAGTACTTCCTCCTCTGCTTTCCAGCAGTGCAGAGCTGATACTCAGGTAGGTCAGAGGACAGGAATTGTGTCTCAGTGCTGCAGTTAACACAAGGCATGGAAGGCGCAGACTGTGCAATGTGAGTCAGCTCCTAAAGGCCATCTCACGTGGAACTGGGCAGTTCAGATGGCAATGAATGTCTTAATGAGCATGTGATCTGTAATTAAATTTAATCACTATTAACTGTTGCACACCAACAAAATACCTACAAAGCCCAAATGGCCTGTACACTTTCTCATTGCTTCTGCATTTAATTACACAGAAGGAATGTGTTAATTAAAGGTCACTGTGGTAGCAGTTTCAGCTCCATGACTTCAGCACAGACACCCATCAGCTCTCAAGGATTTAAAGCACATCCAAGATTAGCAACAGGGATACAGTGTCAGTGCTAACAGGTTAATGAGACCCATAGAAGTAATGAGAAAACAAGAATTAAAGGAGACCATGGGAGGTTTCAGGTATCTGAGCCATTTCTATGGTATCACATCCTTTTGCTGCTGTGTTTGTGCTCAGCAGTTGATGTAGGAGACGGTGATCTTTTCAGATCTTTCATGCAGCAAAGTGTCTCTTTGGTTCTGAATGTTCTGTTTTTCTTTCCAAGCCTATTCCTGGTAGAAGTAGTTCACCTGCAGCATTTGCCAGTTGCTGCCAGTCGGTCACAGCTCAGAAGTGACCTCCTTTTTGCAGTGACAGAACAGGACTGGTCATGACCACTTGTATTCTGTTAAATACAACTCTGACAGTCAGGGGATAGCTCTTGATCCAGCTGTGAAGCTGTGAGGCTCTATAACAAAGCTAAATTGTTTCATATTTATCTCCTTCCAAAAAGTCTTAAAAAGTCTAGTGGCTGCCTTGAAAATACAGGCTAAAACATGAGAACTGTCACCAGGTGTGTGTCAGCTCCCCCTCACCTCCTGGTATGCCCCAGTGCACTCGTAGTAGTCCCGAGAAGGCAGGCCCAGCCCAGGCTGATCGATCTGGAAATGCAAATAAAAATGGAGAAGAGCTTAAGGGGAAATGGCAGACCATTGTACTGTTCTTTTGGTAACTACAGGTGCTGATGCTTCACTGGCCAAATTATATTCTGGCCACAGGGGGGTCCTCTCTCATTCTGTTGCCCACCTTTCACTATTTTCATTCTTGTTAAACTTTTTTTTTTCTTTTCAATCTTTTTTTCTCCTGTTGCTGAACACTGCAAGGCACTGGTAGGCAGTGTGAAAACAGGTGAGCCACAGGTGACAGAACAGCCCAGAGAGAAGCTAGGCAGCTCCTGCATCTCTGAAACCCCTGCACGTGAGGTGCTCACGGCTCCATCCACCACTGACAGGAGAGACTGGCCCTTTGCTGCTCTAACTGCTGCATCCCAGCAGTCACCAGACCTTCTCCTGCCTTGTCTGGACGTTCAGGTTTCAGAGATGACCTTTCTGTCTCTGTCATTCCCGTCTCACTGGCAGTAACAGTGTATGAGTGCACAGAACAAAGATGTCAGCTTGGAGAACAGAGAGGGAACTGTGGAACCCAGAGTCTCAGCTGAAAACTACGTTAATTCACAAATTCATCTACAAAGCACTCAGGTCAAATTCAGATCGCTGATGTTTCTCCTTGCTAACACTGATGTCTGTGCTTGCAGTTATTTGCTGCACTTTTATGATCAACAAGGCCACGGCACCCAGGCAGACTTACGTGAATGATATGTGCTGTGGAATTTTTATCATCTGTGCCAACAAAAAAATTAATAAGGACCTTTTTTCCATATCTGGAGTTGAGCTGTGCAATAGCTGTCTCAGCTGTCCAAGCAGTACCTAAGCAAATGGAAGGTATAGTCAGTCTCTATTTTTAGTTAGCAATAAATTAAATAATTTAGATATTTTAACTAAAGGAAATAAGCACAGGTTATCTTACCATAGGAAGCATCCCAGTCTGTTGTTGCTACAGGCCACTCAGACACATTTGGCAATAAACTAATTAGAGGCCTTCCACCTCGGATATCAATGGCAGCTTTTGGAAAAAATAAAATGAGTTACCATGACATTTTAAACCCCACAAATGTTATATATTATAATATATATTATGGGTTCAGAACAATGAAGCTGAGAACTGTGTTTCCCCCATCACCACAACAGCAGTTTGCTCTGATGTATGACTGTGCTTTAACATTTAATGTAAAAATGTTCCAGTTACAAACAGCATATGCAGATCCTTGAGAACATGACCTTGAAGTAGTCTTTTTCTTTCCTCTCTCTGCAGATAGCTTGAAATAATAGTTTTGAAAAGTATTCATACTATTACAGAAACTATAAAGTATTATTTAGGAAGCACTGCAAACTGTTGTACTGCTCTTTGTTCTAGTGGCAGAGCCTGGTGTGCCAGGTAGCTTTCACCTCATCCCTGCTAGTTTCTACAAAAGAAGTTAACTCCCATTTAACTGAAAGGATTTGAGTTTATATATTTGCAGCACATTAGTAACTGAAGAGTTACCTAAAATACCTAAGTTAGTAAAGCAGGAGGTACAATACCAGTTTTACTGCTGAGGTTCTGATTGGACTCTACAGAATAGACACATTTCAGTTTTCACAAAGGATATCTGAGAAGTGGTGCACAGAATAGGACACAGGTGCAGCTGCCTGGGGCTGCCTTTGGGTGCTGCTGAGGTATGCTGTAGGCAATGGCCCCAGGGGACACTTACTTTCATTTATGCAGGACCTGTACAGGGTTTTTGCCTTCTGCACCGCTGGGATATCGTTGGTGCTGGGGGTGTCGAGGACATCTGAAACACACAGCGGGTCATGGTCACTCCTGCTCTGCCCTGCAGGATCTGAGCAGCAGGGCTGGGCCCGGGGACTCTGTCCAGCCCCAGGGAGGCTCTGCCTTTCAGCAGCCGAGGGGGAAGGCTCTGCAGTGTCTGCAGCCTGTGCTGGGATGTGCCACGTAACGGAGCCAGGAGATAACTCCGAAGGATCCCTGGGTGACAGACAAATGCTCTGACTTCTCAGAGCAACCAGGTTTGTGTGAGGACACAGCTGGCAAAACCAGGAGATAGGCAAAGTAAAAAAAAAGGATATTTAGCCTGGAGAGAATGAGTTGGAGAGTGTTACATGAGTACAGACTGCCTTCTTGGACTCTGTTATTTTCACCTGAAGAAAGGGATGGTGAAGAATGTGATACTTTGATATGACAGGTAGGGAAATAGCTTGCATGCTCTTTGGGCTTCCTGATGGCACACAGATAGGCAGGGCATGGGCTGCCAGAGAGCAGCTTCCAGCATTTCAGCTGATGTGGACACAGACAGACCTCCCCCTCCTCCTCCTCCTCCTTCACCTGCCAAGTGCTGTCGCTGGGGCAGGCTCAGGGTGGGCACTGCAGCTGGTCTGATCTGCAGATAGCAGCAAGGGCAGGTCTGCTCAGCTCTGCTCCAGTGTCAGACACAGCAGCACGCTCCCAGAGCCTTCTCCCAGCCAACAGTTTGGGGCAGATTTGTCCTGAACCAAACACAAAAACCTGAAATATCTGGCAGTATTTTAAGCTTTGCTAGAAAACCACAACTTCTTAAGATAACACATAAGGCAAAGAAGAAACTTTATTTAGTCCCCAAACTCCACTGACCTTTTAAAACAACTTCTAGTTCGTCTCTCAAAATGTCAAAGTTGCTATAACGGGAGCTGGTCTCGGGGATGACGTTCCTCTTGAGCCACCCTCCGCAGGCGTACTGGTAGAAGTCCTGGCAGGGCCTGGCACTGGGGTCCATGTTCTCCAGGATCCGGGCAGCTGCAGCACACAGACACACTTTGCACACACACTGCACTAGTTTGCTCTCAAGAGGGAAGTCATAAATGTATTTAGTTTAGGATAGGCTCAAGCTTACTTGAATGTTCTAGACCAAACAAAGTTCTCATCACTGAACAAGGAATTACTATTCCTGTGCTGACCACAACTCCCATACTTTCCAGTTGGCTGTGTTTACTGGTGGTAAACTGACAGATGTTCCTGTGAGTGGTCACTCAGTTCTAAATAAAATGTAGCATGTTTCATTTACCCTTCACTTACCCTTCTTTGTACTGGAATGTGGTGAAAAGGGACATTGAAAGCACAAGACATAGCAGAGGTTAAGCATCCACTGTAATGCCATTTTGGTAATTAAGTATGATTTAGACTCAACTGAATCCTATTTCAATCAAATACTGACTTTGTTGGACTATTTCAGTTCTTGTCAGGAAAGGTTTTTCTATTGATGCCTTCTGGAAGCTACACTCATCATTAGACCTGCTCCACGTATTACTCTAGAGCTGATACTGCCTCTTGCTATGCCTTTGACTCCCTGGAGTGGCTTGTCCAAGACTGGCCAGTCACTGACCAACTGTGACAGGGATTCTCAGTGAAATCCAATTCCTTGATGACAGCTGCTGTCCAGAAACCCTCTGGGCTTCTCCCTGTACCTATTCCTATTCCACCCAGACTCCTTCTACCACCAGTATGCCAGAACAGAGTTTCTCACAGAAAAGAGAGATCTTGGGAGTCAGGCAAGAGCTAGGGATACCTCTGAATTTCCCAGGATACTGAATATTCTTCCCATTTTTCTGACATTATTTTTAGTAAATTATGAGGCTTGTGATTTCAAGTGTTCATTCCTCCACATGGGCAAGTCAAATATTTATAGTTATTTTTCCAGTACTTTCAATATTTTCCATGTCTCTTGTGCTGGTGGAAATGGATAGACAGTCTGTGTTGTTTGTGTTGATTTGCCTGCCCCCATTTTTCTGCTGGCTCAGGAGTGTTACATTCTAGGCCAGCATCTGATGGTTTTACAATGTTCCAGTGCCTGCAAGATGGAAATAGCCATGGACAGGTGCATTTTCAACCTCAGACTGCTTCTGTAGCATAAAACCCACTGTGGAAATAGATGCAAAGTCTCCTAGCTGATGGTTTCCCTTCTGCAGTCAGTGGCTTCAGGGTGACTGCTATCTGAAGGGACACGGGATCATGCCAACAGTCAGAGACTGGGAAATTCAGTCATGTTTTTACTAACTGTGACACGTGCTGCAGCCCCAGATGTTCTGGGATTGTGGAAGCTCTGCTGCTGGTTTCTGTCTTTTTTGCCCTGTTTCAGTCAGGGGAAGGGGAGTGTTTTGAATGCTGCAGTTTATTCCTGTCCTAACTCCACCTATTTGCTGTGAAAGAGGAAAGTTGTAACTACTCCTGACATCTCCTGTTTTAAGGGTATCCCTCTGAATCTCTCTGCCAGACTGGGGAGCACCTGAAGGGCATCACTGTCCCTTGGGTGACCTTGGCACGTGTCAGTCCAGCAGCACAGACTTTCCTGGCCAGGAGTGGACACCCCAGCCCTGCCAAACAGCAACAGTAGGACAGAAACATCTTCTGACACCAAGAAAAGATGGCCCCTATCCACTGACCTGTCCCTTTGGGAAAAACCTCACAACAAAAGCCAGGAGAAATCCATGTCTTGCTTAAATCTGAGAAATCATTAACAGTGTAATATCAAACCTGGCTTGAACTGTGCAGTCGGGTTGCTCTGCTTGCAGTCAGCACCTGGGTAATCCTCTGTGCCTGCCTGTGCCACACAGAAATAATCATCTCTCATAGCTCTCCTGCTCCAAGGTCCAGCCCAGCCAACATCAGCTGTCCAACTTTTATCAGAACTTAAAGCCTAAATACTGCAAAAGTACCAGAGAGAGCTCAGCTGTGGTCTTTCTGGGCACTGTGGTCTTTCATTTAGGGCTGCATGTGGAGTACATACAGTAAGTATGACCATGCAGAATACTCTCCTCAAGAGTGCTATTGCAACACCTGAGCCCCAAGATAGCCATTCATTATTTGCCTGATACCACAGATATATTATAATCAAGAGAATGTGATTATGTTACAAATATTTTATTATTTTATCTCTAATCCAGGTGAATTTATACCTATACAAATACAGACTATGTACTACTCAGTTCCTACCTGGCACCAAGAATGTAGAGCTTCAAATCAATTACTTGTAATGATTAATCTTACTGTAGTACTCCTGATTACCAGTTGCTGCTTTAATAGCTTACAAATAAAGTAATATAAGCTGGCAAAGCAACCAGTGACCTGGGGAGGATTCAGGAGCAAAACAATGTGCTTACCTAGGTAAGGAACAGAGACCAAAATCCCCTGTTCCATCAGGCTGTGCTGACTGAGCTCAGGGGAGTCATCAGAGTGTATCAGCTTATCCAAAAAATGCTCAAAAGTACAAACTGCATTGTATCTTCCTGTGCCACACTGCAGTGGCCTCACAAATCCATGGATAACAGTGCCGTGCAGTTACTGGTATTTACCCTTCTTTAACCAGTGAATTCTCATTACATTTTTTCTTCATTATTTGTTCATTATTTATTTTACTACATTTTTTTTTTCTTCTGGTCATTTATTTGCAGCTCTTCTTCAAAATAACCAAACAATTCTGTCAGTATCTTCACTTTATACCTTTCCAGTGGTTAAATGCTGTTAGAGCATTTAACAGAAGCATAGAAGAGTAAAATTGTTCTGATTAATTACTTTAGGAACTTCTTGCTACATTGTGCCTCATTTCTCCAAACTTTTCCTGCTTTTCCTTTTGGAGTTCATTCACAGAGTCTGTCTGAACTCCCGTGTAGCAATGTGTATTCAGCTGAAAATGAGCAGCATCAGAGATTGACAATCTGCTAGAGAACTAACCGGATCGCTTTCCAAACCACAGCAGGAGCTTTCATGCTGGGAGAAGAACTTGGAAATGGGATGAACAGGCAGCAATGGCCACCTGGAATAAACCTTATGTGTGGCCCGTGCTGATGGCAACCTGCAGCTCCTGGGATGAGGGGCTGCCCTGGGGCTTTCCCTGCAGGACCGAGCTGCCAAAACAAGACCTGGAACCAGCAGTCCCATGGGAGTAAGGAAACCAATATACCGACTTTCCTGTGCTGTTTCTGCTGTATCTGCAAGTCTAAATGGTGCCTATGAATCAGCACCTTTGGGGTGCACTGTGCCTGGGATCCTTTAACAACTGCTCTTGTTACTGAAGGATGAGGGAGCTTGTCAGACTATGGCATGCAGAATCTTTTGGACATGGAGGATGACTTTGTAAGAGTGAAAATATCACAGCATGACAGTTTAGTTTTCAGAAGAACTACGCCAAGAAAATCATGTGGGGTAACAGACCCATGCTTCCATGTGCCATACTTGTCAGCAGTTAGATGGCAGAATTCTGTGGTAGTAATTTTGTTTAAAAACACATAAATTAATTGAAAACATATGTATTTTTATTCTTACCTGATTTGATACAGTCTGGTGTCTTGCAAATGCCATCTAAAAGAGAATACAATTATATTCTTAATTCTTTATTCAATGTCAATATAAAAAAAAATCTACTGTAAATATTTCCATTGACAGTCAATTTAATTGCAGTGTACAGTAAGATAATATGAATGGACACCTTACAGTCAGTAGGGGAATATTTATAGGATCAGGCTCTAAAAATATCATCATCTTCAACCCTTTAGGGTCATTCAGTGCTAGTCATTCATCATGTGGAATTTTTGTAGTCATCAGAGGAAAATGTCCCATCAATTGGAGGTGGGCAAAATACTATTTTTATAACAAAGAAGCAATTTAGAGAAAAATAGCTCAAGGACTGGAGTGAATGACAAAGCCAGTTTGAATTTAGCAATACTTTACAATGACAAAAGAATTTTCAAGGAATTATATGAAAATTCTGAGACATTCACTCTGAAGTCTTCTGAACAAAATACAGGATTCAGGAATATGAAAATATTTCCTTTCAAGACTTTGAAAATAAAACTTTTTTTTCCTCCCACAATGGTATTTTTCCATCCCATAATTGAACTATATTCAATAAAAAGCTTAAACAAAACTATTAATTACTTCAAAATTTAAAAAAAGCACTTAATTCCCAATACAAGGATAAATTCTAGTTTGACCCCAGATGGAAATTTTAGCTTCTCTGTATTATTTTTTCCAAGAATTACCAATGTATTTCCTCCTGAATTAAATTATTTTGCTCTGGCTACAGAAGCACAAAACCTCTCAGGATGACTACACTCACTGAGAGTCCTTGCTGCAACAGCCTGACAAAGGAAAAAATAGGATTTTCATACATCTCCAGGAACACAAAGGGAGCCCTGGAGTTTGGTTTTCTTCAGCAATGTTGCAGTTTGTTGAGATCTTTCCTCACTGAAGCATTAATTACAAACAGAAGTATTCCTCAGTCAGAACAAGCAGATGGTTTGTGTTTACCACAACTTTGCATGAACAAACGAATTTACCGAGTCCCAGTTGGAAAGACGCAGTTTCTGAGTTTTTCCAGCAACAAGACACGTGGATGCAGCTTTCCATTTCAGCCAGCACCCAGCCCCTTCCCCAGTGCCCGCGTGCTCACCGTCGTACGTGGCGTACAGGGCGATCATGGTGATGGCCACGATGGCCAGCAGCACCACCACCACTGCCAGCCCTATTTCCAGGCCACTCCATCCCAGTTTCTTCTTGGGTTTTGGAGTATTCATTTCAGTTATATCCATCTGGCTTTCCGACTTGCCCATAACCCAGCGTCTGCAATGGAAAAGGGAATGTTCACTGAGCACCTACCCTGAGTCACAGGCTCGAAACCGGCTCCTCAACTGCACAGTAACAAAGGTGTTTTCTAGGTGACTTTTCCAATTATTTGTAATACTACTGGGCTGTCAGTCAGGAAATGAAAAATCCTGCCCTCTGCCAGGCCTGTGCACACAGGCACTCACACTCACACACACTCACACTCACTCACACTCACGTACCACACACTTTGTGTCATGGATGGAGAGCAGAAGAGTGGAGTTCCTTCACGTGGAGGAGCTTCCTTCACACCACACAGAAAAGGAAGGCCAGCAAACCAAAACCTATTTTTAAAATGTACCCGTGGGGTTTAATCTTGTGTGACGGTACAGGAGTTCACAAGCAGTAAAAAGCAAGTCTCTTTGCTTGAATAAAAATTAACTTAACCTGCCAATTACTTATCTAATGCCAAAGGTCAAAATATGCCATTGTGCTTCGCTGTCACTTCTAAAATATTATGTAAGCAGTTCTTGACTACAGCTTTACAGCTGGCTCTAAAAATAGAAAAAAAAATCAGGCTCTGCTGGGAGCCTGTCAAACTCACACTGAAGACAGTGAGTGTTCACAGCAATTTTTAAAGAACAGTGAGCAGGCCTGTCTTTGGAGGTTAGAGCACTGCACAGGAGTCACGCAACGCCGCTGGCAGCGAGCTCACGCTCCCTCGTGCAGCCCTTGCAGCAGCTTTGGAGATCCTCTTGCTCTTCAGAGGTGACTGGGCCACCTTTGCAGTGCTGCTGGTGGCAGCTCTGTGCTGTCCCTTCACCTGCTCCTAGTTATCCTCCACCACCTGAGATTCCAATCCCTACACACACAGCAATGTATTTCTCAGTACTTCACAACGAAAATCCCTGCCAGCATTTCCTGGGGCTCTTTACATCCACAGGCAGTACACACCCTTTCCATTCAATGGGAAAGAATATGAGAATTTCACTGGGATAAATAATGGGAACAGTACATTCAGCAGATCCCTCACACAAAGGTCAACCTTCCTTGCACCCTCTCCCCATAAGTCAGGGAGGGACCCTTCTCAGGCTCTGCATCCAGTCAAGTCTAAGACTCAGAACTTCATTATTTTGAACTGGCTTAGCTGTATTGCTGCCTTGTGTTCATCCCAACACCAAACTCTCTTCAAACTGCTGCAATCTCTCACATCTCCAGTCTTTGCTTTTCCACTGGACCTCCTGCCTGATTCTTTTCCTTAGTTTTCTGCCTGATTCACATTCCTTAGTTTCCAATAATCTCTTCCTTCCTCTGATGTCCACCTCCCACAGAATGATGCTTCTGTGCTGCAGAAGCAGGTCCCTAAAGTGTATGTTTATTAATAAACTAAAGATGGCAAATAGCCCCATTCTACAGATGTAAGTAAGAGACATTTCATGTTCCATGGGTTTGCCAGCACCTGTCTCCGTGGCTCACTGGATATTCTCACACTGTTCCTCCACATAAATGAGAGGACATTTTATTTCTGTGTGTCTCATCTGCCCTTCTGTCACTACTCCTGGGACATCAAGCTGCAGGAGGTGACTGGCAGTGCCAGAACTGCAGCTCTTCCATGGCTCAGGAGGCTGGAATCCTGAGGTCTGCCCAGCCTCTGTCTGCACCTACAGGGTGCACAACTACTTTCCTGTGCCTCGTGAGCTGCTGTTTTTCTCTGAAGAACAAGATTTTTCGTCTAATGAGCCAGTGGTCTCTGAGGCACAGGACTGAAATCTCACTGAAACTTGCAAAGGAGTGAGAAATCTGCCCTGCATTAACTATGAGCAAGAAATTCATAGGTAATAAAAAACCAAATTAACCATTATCCCCTTCTCACTTCCAGTCATGTTAAGCAGTAAAAAAAGAGTGAACTAAATACTGCCGAGTCCCCGGAATCCTCTGGGTACTTGGAGCCTCGTTGAAGCAATGATGCTTATCTCCTGACTCTGGTGGTGACTTTGAGCACTGAAAATACAGTTCCGTAGAGCAGCAGGAAACACTGCACCTTTCATGTGTAAATATGTTCTTTGCAGTCATCTAAGTTTTTCCAAGCGAGCTAATCTTCCTGTTCTTGCAGAAGAGCTCCTCGCATCTAAAGGCATCTGACTAATTTTTACTTCTAGTTAGAGTTGAACCCATCTGCATTAACGACCACCAGGTAGAAGCTGCTTTATGTGCTACTGCAAGCACAGCGAAACTGTAGGAATAATTTAAGCCTCGGTATTCTGGTTTTCTTACACTTCTCCTGGTGCTTATGTGATCCCCTTTGCTCTGCCTACTGAAGCTTAGACACCACAGAGAGCTGAAGGTGTTTCGACTGATCCTGATCTAATGGCACAATGAGTTAATGAATGCATTAGCTTTTGGTTTTGGGATGGGTTTGTTAAAATCGGTTTGTGGGTTACTTGATTCCCAGCGTCGCCTCCACAGAAAATGTAGCACATCACGGGAATACTTTACTGTGTTTTCATTAACTTGTGCAGCCTGTCCCGTGCCAGCCGGGCAGTGCCATGGGGCATCGCCGGACAGCGCCATGGGGCATCGCCGGACAGCCTGCGGGAGCTGCTCCTCTTCCGCCGCACGGAGCCGGGCACATCCCCGGAGCAGGGCACATCCCCGGAGCAGGGCACAGCCCCGGAGCCGGAGAGAGCCCCGGAGCCGGGCACATCCTGGAACCGGGCACATCCCTGGAGCAGGGCACAGCCCCGGAGCCAGGCACATCCCCGGAGCCCGGCACATCCCTGGAGCCGGGCACAGCCCCGGAGCCGGGCACAGCCCCGGAGCCCGGCACATCCCCAGAGAGGGCACATCCCTGGAGCCGGGCACAGCCCCGGAGCACGGCACATCCCCGGAGCCCTCCGAGCGCGGCTCCGGCCCCCGGGGAGGCGCCTAAGGCCGGGCCGGGCCGCCCTGGGCGGGGAGGGCGCTCGGCTCTGCCGCAGCCGCTGCCCGGGACGGTCCCGGCCCCCCGAGGGTGGCTCGGGGCGCTGCTCCCGGGGTGCGACCCCCGGTCGAGCCCGGCCCGCGGCCCCCCGAGGGTGAGCTGGCTCCAGACCCAGCGTCCCGGCTCAGGGAGCACCGCTGCCGGCTGGCAGCTCCCGGCTTGGGGAGCCGCGCGGGGCCCCGTCCGTCCGTCCGTCCGTGCCGCCCCGCTCCCGCAGCCCCGTCCCGCACTCACCCGCTGGTGGTCGCAGGGCTCCGGCCGCGGAGCCGCCTCGCACATCCCCGGGCGGCGCCGGGCGGAGGCGGCGGGGACGCCCCGAGCCGGCGGGTCCGCGCCCGCGGGGCCCGCGGGGAGGCGGCGCCGGCTGGGGCTGGGGCTCCGGCTCGGGCTGGGGCTCGGGCTCGGGCCGGGGCTCGGGCTTGGGTTCAGCTCAGGCTGGCGGGGCTGTGCCGGGCAGCCGCCGGCGGGGCTCAGCGCCCGCGGGCAGCGGCGGGGCCGCGGGGCGCCCGCATCGCCGGGACATCAGAGCCCGGGCGCTGCCCGCCGCCGATCAAAGGAGCCCTTGTCCGCCGGCCGCCGGGCGAGCAGTTCTCCGGCTGACCTGAAGGCTTCTTCCTCTTCGCAATCATAAAAATGGGATGGGGCAGGAAACAAACAAACAAGCCCCCCCGCCCCGGCGAAGCGCGCTGCGCTCCTCGCCACGCCTCCCCCGGCGCCGGGGCAGCGCGGGCCGGGCGGGGCGGGAGCGCCGTGCCCGGTGGAGCCCCTGCACCTGCCCGCTTCGCATTGCCCCGGGCTGCAGGAGGAGGAGGAGGGGATGCACGGGGAGGGTTAGCGGCTGCATGTCTGCGGCTCGCTGCCTGCTTCCATGCACACTCATCGCCTTTGTCAAATTAATGCAGTCACATACGCTCTGCAAGATCTTGCGTCCTCATTCACCGAGTGATTTCTCCTCGGGAGGGAGATAGCTGTGACTTCTTGCACGGAGAGGCAGCTCTGAGCTCTGTCAAAAGATTTCTCAGCCACCTAAGTATCAAAGATATTTGTTTCATTCTTACAAAGTTTCATTTTCATTAAGTTTCATTTTTACTAAGAGATTGACAAATACCAACGGCAGCAATATGAGTTGCAGTCATTCCTCTCATTCAAACCAGACACCACGCTGCTTTCTGCTGCGTTCCTTTAGAGGTTTATTACCTCTGAGGCAGACATGGCTGGAATTTCTGAAATCTTTTATTACCAGCTACACGCACTAAAATGTCTGTGGCTTAAGAGGAGTAACTTCCTTCTGCCAAGAAAGGTGGAAACTGAATTCCCATTTCTTTATGGGACTGCCCAGTGAGTGATCTGCAGGGCAGATGCAATGAAGAGGGGAAGATGAGCATTAGCTGTACAAATGAAGCACTTTTGCAAAATGAACTTCTGAAGAAGGAGGTTTTATTCACCACAAAAGCAATAGAAGTGTAAAAAATGGGCAAGAAAAAAGTTTCCAAAGGTCTAGAGAACAAGAATACTGCAGTTTTCTACAGAGGGGAGTGGGGAAAATACTGATTATATCCTTTCCAGGATCAGTGTTCAAATTATTATAAATATCTCACGTTCACCCTCTCCTGCAGTAATTCTTACAGAGTTCCAGTCCAATTCCTGGGATAAGCCATGTGCTCCTGCAGGTCACTCCTGTCATTACCTGATGCCTTAAACAATAGCAAATTTCACTAAGCAATGTAAGAATGGAGGAGGCATTGAAAATACATTTGATTTTGCAACCAGGTGCCCATTAGCACAGCTTCCACTGCAACAAAGCTTGGGAAGCACAGGGTGATGTGTGAACTAAAAAGGCAAAAAAAAAAAAGGACTTGTTTCAAAAATTTTAGGCGAACAAAAAAAAAAAGTAGAACTGCCTAAATAACCACAAAGAGAGAGCAAAGGAAGAAACTGGTCTGGCAATCTGTAAATAGCCCGAAGAGGACTAACATACCTGACAGGCAGTGAGAGAGTTTCCACTCTTGTAGAACCCCGTGCTTGGAAAGAGAGAGCAGCTGTGGGTGACACAGGCTGGGAGAGGTGTGATCTGTGAGTCAAGCACTGAGATTCCTGTCTGGGCCTTTCCTAGGGAAAACTCCCAGCAAGTCAACAGTGTGATCTGCTTCTTAAGGACAATGTTATCACTGCTGCTCTGGGTGAGGTGAGGTTTGCAGTGGGAGACAGCAGTGAGGTGGGTCTCTTCTTCTCCCAGATAACAAGTGATAGGACAAAAGGAAATGCCCTCAGGTTCTGCCAGAGAGGTTTTGTTTGCATATTAGAGAGAATTTCTTCCCAGAAATGGCTGTCCAGCCCTGGCACAGCTGCTCAGGGCAGTGGTGGAGTCCCCATGCCTGGAGGAATTTAGAAGTTGTGTGGATGTGGCACTTGGGGACATTGGTGGCCTTGGAGTGCTGGAGGAATGGACAGTCTTAGAGGGCTTCTCCAACCCTATCATTTTAGGGATGACAGACCTGTATCTTCATTCTGTTAATGGACATGCCCTGCAGATTCCTGAGGGCAAGCCCCCAGTGACAGGATGACCCAAGGAGCAGGTGACCCTTGTATGTGTTTGCTTCCTTCTTACTCACCTTCCTCTGCTAGGACTGTGATCTCATCAAGACAAGAAACAAAAAGGCAGACCAACAAAAGAAAATTCACCCCACAATTGAAAGAAGCAATGGAATCCTCGAATTTAGAGATAAGAGTAAATATTTTTCCTTAACACCTTGCTGAGGTGTGCTGCTCTGATCTTGCTGCTTGCAGTGAGAAGGGGCAGGAGGAAGAGTCTGCAGCTTCATCCTTCAGGCACGAGTTTGGAGGGGTCTGGCACTGCTGCTCACAGACTGCTCTGGACTTCTGATGGACAAACACCAGGTTGAAACCAATGCATGGTAAATTTATAGAACCAAATAACACTCAGCATACCATTTAGAGTCAGAAAATGAACAAAAGGGAGTTAATATGGAAGAGCACACTGTTGTTAAATCCATGTCCTTGAAAAACAAAGATTTCTGCTCACTGCTGATTTGAGAAGAGATAGCAATACTTAGCTGTAGTATCCCTCAAAAATATGGCTAGGGAAGGAAGCTGCTCCAAAATCTGGGCCCACAAGTAGGTCAGAACAACATACAAAAATGGATTCACTGTCCAGCCTTCAGAAAAATGAACTGTATCCAATACCCCAACTGGAATTCAGTGACCCATTCCATACTGTGTTCTCCTGTTGGTCCAAACGACCACAGCATGACCTCATTCCCCATATGACCTCTGGGTGACATTGGGACTCATTTATGCAACTGTGAAACAACATTATGGATACTGTATTTATTTCCTTCTGGAAAAGCTCACTTTTCAAAGCAGCAAAGCTAGGGTTCAAGGAGCAAAGAACGTGGATGCTGCCTGTGTGAGTCTGACCACTCCTCTCAACCCTGCTGATCCCTTCCCCATCATGTCCTCTGCTAGAGGAGAGGAAAATGGGGAACCTCCTGCCTTCCCTCCTTAGCCCTGTGCGTGTTCAGTGCAGCTGGACTGTGAGAATTTAGGTGGTAAAGTCTTACCACACTGAATATTTCCTCCTTTGGTTCTGGTTTTGTTTCTCAGTAGGTTTGTAATGAATCCAGGCCTGGTCAATTTGTCATTCAGGAAAGCAAACAGTCTTGGTCTCAAAATATTTGTTTCAATGCCTAAATTATTCAGGTCTAATTGTATTGTATTACAAAGCTTTGTCTTTGTTAGGCGACAGGCTTTGCAGTGCAAGTGATTTGCAGGTGTTTGCAAGCCTGATAAAACACTTGGCTGAAAAGGCTGAAAAGCTTCCTTTTTTTAAAAATTTTTTTTAATCCCCCTCCCCATGTTTTGCTTGTTTGTTTGTTTGTGTTTTTGTTTGTTTTGTTTTGGCTGGTTTGTAGCTTGCTAAGAGGCACGCACGTTGCTGCAGTTAGCTCTGGCTAACAGGCTCCTTGGGGTCCTGAATCTCTGCAGCCTACCAGGAACCGTGAGTCAAATGTTATTGGGACAATAGTGGGTGATTTCCTGGAAGAAGTGGGTCAAAACAGGGGATGTAAAACTGCCTGTGCCATATGCAGATGGAGTGAAAACTGATAATGGTGTAAACACAGAAGAAAAAGAGAGGAGAGAATTGAGATCCGTTAACCACAGGTTTCCTGTGCAGTGCTAATACAGTTGTGAAGGCTCAGTCACACTTTTCTGGTTAACTTTAAAACCACGGCTCTGGGGAAAAAAAGAGCAGAAGCACAGAGAGGCCTTCACTCCAGCAAAAACTGGAGCAGGAGCTGCTAGGACACACAGAACCCAAGGAGTGACATCCTGCTGTGTCTCCAGGCTCTGCACCGGGGCTCTGCAGCACTGGGGACCACAGCACGGGGAATCCCACACTCCCGTGGGACTCCAAAACCCTGGGTGCCAGAGGTGGGGCTGAGGGAGCCCCAGAGCTCACACAGGGCTGTTGGAGCCCTCGGGAATGCTGCACTCGCAGTGCCCACCTGTGGCTGTGCCCCGCAGGGGCCAGGGGCTGCAGCTCATCCCACCTCAGCAGGACACAGCTCCTCAAGTGTGTGTTCCCTCAGCAGGCTGCAAGAATGCCCAGCCTGGTACAGCCTCTAATCAGGTTATCTCTGCCAAGGGCTGTGATTGCTTTCGTTGTCAGAGTCTGTCACAGCAGCGAGCCCCTGGTGGACTGTGGGGCTGATAAACACACAGCACCACAGGCTGTCTCTGCTGCAGGCTGGAGTACAGTTACAGTCAAGCAGATTGTTATGGCTGGGAGGTATTCAAAAGAGAGGAAAGGAACGTTTAAATGTAGGATGACAGATTAGAATATTCGCTAGTAGTGTCTAGGTCTCTGGAAAACAATCGGCCATAACCTGACAAAGCGGTGAGCAGTGACACCTTGCCTGGCCTAGTGGCAAGTTAGTCCCATTTTGCTGTTCTTTCTTGCTGTGTTTAAATGTAGGATGACAGATTTAAAATATTCGTTAGTAGTGTCTGGGTCTCTGGAAAACAATCGGCCATAACCTGACAAAGCGGTGAGCAGTGACACCTTGCCTGGCCTAGTGGCAAGTTAGTCCCATTTTGCTGTTCTTTATTGCTGCTGGCATCCTGGATGAGAGTTTCTTTTCACCACCCAAATGACATAAGCAAATAGTCAGCAAGAAAAATAGGTTGTGTTTCAATGTCACAGATTAGCTGGCTCCACAGCCCTGTCCATGAGATCATTTGAATCAAGTCCATGACTTAAATGTCTTTTTCTGGTCTTTTTTAATCTCAAATGACAAAGTACAAGGCTTGTATGCCACAAGTACAGTATTGAAAATGGAGAGGAAAAAGTGCTGACTCTGGACTGTCAGAACACTGGGAGAGTTGTCCTGATCCAAGCCATCCTTCTTAGGCCACTCTGATATAGTAGATCTGGAAGAGAAAACCAAGAGGTTTTCCTAATGGTTTACATTCGATTTGCTGTCTTAAATTACGAAAGGACAAATGTGCTGTATGTGTGAATATGGGAAAACAAATCTCTGTTGTTTGTCTCAGTGAGAACTTGTCCTGCCTTCCCTTGGGGTGTGTCAAAGCTCCTGGAAGCTCCGTGGGTGACACGAGGAGCCAGGAGGTGGCTGTGCCCTGGGACATGGCCCCCTTGGGTCGGTGCTCGTGTGTGGTGTGTTCAGCTGCACACTGAGTGC